TCACTCGCTCTTTCTCTTTTCACTGTAGGGTATCAGTGCCAACACTGATGTTGCTGTCTTTGATGATGTTGGGGACACTAGTCAGAACCGGAACCAGTAATCCCATTGAACCAAAGTTCCTCTGCACCCCCGGACATCTTTTATTCTATCCCCCTGGCTAACTTACCTACTGATTAATTGAGATTGCTAGATGAGTGGTGTAGTGTATTTAACAAGTAAAGACGGACCACTGGGTGGGAGCCAGTCACGCTCAGACTGATTCACTCCGTTGTCGGTGAGGAGCACTGGCTGCATCATAGTTTTCACTTCATCCGGTCTCAGACTGTTTGCTCTCGTCTAGACTCTTTAAAAAACTAGTCATGCTGCCTGCTACTCAAGTCAGTATGCCTGAGAATTTTTTTAGGTTTCATTCATTAGCTCAGGGTTGCTGTATTGGGTAAACTTGACAGCCTGGCGTACTGGAACTGACCCCACGTATGTAAGAAGGTCGAGTTCCTTAATTTACTGGAACCACGAACATTTCATGACCTCAATAATGGGTGGCAAAAATTGCTGCATCTTCATGAGAACGTGGCAGATTTGAAGATTCTTGGATTCAACTATTCGAACTGATAGTTGCGCCTGTAGTGCTTTTATTTTGGGTGTGAGGTAGCAAAGATATCAGCTAGCGTCATAAGCCAATGGGTGGTGCAGAAGAATGTGTGGGTGTGTGTACGCATTCTTATGCTACATCAACTCGAGTAGCAGCGACAAGATGCTGGCGTCATTTAGGGGTTCTTTTTATACCAAACCATGAATCGCGTGAGTAGTCAGAAGGACCGCAGTCCTAACGCAAATATCTATGACGTACTCAAACAATCATGTTCTTCAGGACCGGGATCCCCTCCATTGGGTTTCTACAGTCCATACATCTACCCTACCGGAGATGGACCACGCAATGCGCTGGGAGTCAAACATTCATTACGGCAGTGAAGCATCGGTGTTGAACACTGATGTCATGCTGTCGATGGTGAAACATTCATCCCTGACTAGGATAGTTGTCAGTAAGCCGGTTCTCTGACTTTATTTAGGTTGCTTTGCTGAAAGGATGCTGAACGCTACTGGCAAAATAGCGACTATTATGATAATTTGGGTGATGGAAGGGTGTCCGGACTGGAAAACTTGGAATAAAAAATTTGTTCCCATGTTAACATGATCATGGGAACATCAAATTAGAGATGCCTAATCGCGACGAATGGCTTTCGACAAGCCAGCTGCCTACCCATTTCATGAATTCCATCAGCTGTCACATCTACGTTGGTCCGATCGCGTGCTCCGTATTCCGGGTGATTGATTGGCTCGGCATGCCGTGTTGCTGAGCCAGTTCGGATTACTAGGTGGCACAAGGTGCATAGCACATAACCTATAGGAGAAAAACAAAGGGTCTTGGTTGCACCGGTGTATGTTTTCTCCGAGGTTGGGGTATCCGAGAGCCACCGATGGTTAGGGATGTACTAACTAACATGGGGACGTCACGTAACCGGTTGCGGTGTTGTATATGCCTTGTTCATAATCATTGTCCCTAATTTTTATTTCATTGTCCAACAATGTCCGGTGCCACAGAATTCGGCGACCCGAACTACCTTACACGTTTCACCGTTGTCCAACTGAACTGAACCTAACAAAGATGGAATTCTCATGTGTGCACCATATAGTGAACTTGTGATGGACGTCACTGAGTTATTCGACATTTTCGTCACACATGGGGATCACTGACGAATTAGCTAACGATTTCGTTATTCAGTGGTACTTTGATCATCCTAACAGTTGGTTGCACAGCGAATGATGAACTCATGGTCTTGAGGCCAGTAGTCTGGGAACTTGATCAGAGCGCCTTCGATCGGTCTCTATGGGTCTACCATAAGAGTCTCAGCAGGGACGAATGACCAGGGCTAGACCACATTCTGAGTGGAGATTAGGCCGAAAAACGTTTTGTGCAGCCTATTGCGAGAATTTTTCATTACCACAAACGCTGACTTTATTATGTAAGAAGCATGTTCTCGCGCAACTAACCGGATGTGGCTTTATGGTAAAGTTGGTTCTACGCCGGCTTGGCTCTGCTGTCCGTAATTCCGAGTGCTTGGAGTTAACTTCGCGAGCTTCACGCATCCTGCAAAGCGAAACCTCACCTGTAACTATCCTACCGAACCAAAAGTACTCTGAAAGCTGAAGTGGTCGTACTATCCTTATTCTACTCGGATTTTGTTTGAGAGTAACAGTTCCCCAGTGCTCCTATATAATGTATCGGGATGTCTCCAATATCGTACCAACTGAAATTTGAAGCCGCCTGTTGTGGCACATTCAGTTGAAGAGAAGGATCATAAACGGGAGATTCAGCCAGGTTCCAGGTTAGTCTCCCATCAAAACCGAATTGGTATGCAGATTGGTGTATGAACCGATGTTACTTATTCCTCTTTATCATCACTGACAGTAGCTTTGGACCGATGCTTAACTGCCATATGACCCAAATACCCTGGTCATTGCTGTCTCCATAGATGGGGACCCCGAGACAGGACACATTAATGTTTAGAGAAATACTCAGACGTGGCCCAGTCACGCCCTCAATGGCGCTCGCGCATCCAAGCGCCTCTCCCGATCTCCCCGGTGAAAACTCCACTGACATCCATTGGAGACATCCATGTCTCCAATTCTAGCTCCCCCACCTCCCTAAATCATTGGTGAACGAAACCATGGTAGCTATAACCCATGCACGGTGAGTGCGCGGTTTTTACAACTGATGATGATTATAACAGTTTGACAGCACTTCAGCTGTCGTGTTTGTTTCAGATGACACGACAGACAGCTGGTTTCTGGTTTGCGAACATTTGTGACCTCAAATCGAGTCCCGTAAAATGTATGTACAATGGTAGTGCATGGCTTTAACTCAGAATGACTTTATTCCGATAGGACCATTTAGAAACTTTATACATGGAAAAACGAAAAGGAGACCAGTCCGATTTAGTCAAAATATTTTGATCTTGCAAATTTTTTCTAGCTACGTTAGCGAAATGGTAACGTCAGTGAAAACTTTCATCACTAGGTTCCCAATGTATCGTGTTTTGCTCGGGGGCTTGATCACTTCCAGGTTCTTGTGACACATCTGATACCTGTGGCAAAAGAGAATAAGAACGTTAATGCTGTTAGCGTTATATAAACTAGTTAAATCACAAGTCCTCAGCGGTTGCGACACGCCGACCAAACAAAGTCACAATCAACAGCACCACATCCATGTTCAACAATGAAATTTTACCGAAGAACAACCATAATTTATCTGAATGCCTCATTTTAATGGAGCGAACAAAAGTGAACGTGGAGGGCACTTAATGCTAGCCTCCCGCAGTCCTTCCGTGGTTTCTACGTCAGACACTCATTCAGACAGTATGAATAGGAACTGGGAACGGCAGTGACTTTGACTGGCAACCATATCTCGCAGCATCGGAAACCAGGCACAGGAGGACCACGTGGACCGCATTCTGGAAGACGAGTCGCACCCACATTACTCATACTTCCCGTGGGTCCTTTCATACTTCTCTGCAGATCGAACGTTGGCTACCTCTGCTTGCGCCACTCTGAATTGGGTAGAAAAACTGCACCCCCTTCGACAAACGGTGGTTGGGCATGCGTGATATATGACCACCGCAGCTTTCGCTGCTGGACGGACGGCTTGTTGGTTTACGAAACTTCTGGGAACTATGTGTTGGTGTATATCAGTATGGTTCGCCTTTCAAGCAGTAAACGCTATGTTCGTTTTGGCTACCGATGTAAGATGAAGGCAATTGATTCAGTTCGATGGAGCTATGTAGACAAAAACGTAGAAAGTCATCGAACAATTATTTGTTCAGGATAAGCGTGTAGATGCAACAGTGTCATCGGCTGCATTACACCGCCACGTCAGCGGTCGTGGGTTCCCTACTGCTGAGCATCTAAACACTAGTTTATCAGTCTTGAGAGCGTTGCTTTGAACACCAAACTGGGTTCATCTAGTTACTTCGCCGCGACTAACCAGCGCATCCGTCACGAAGAGACTGGACCTTACCGTGGTGTGACGGTTTGCGCAC